GGCCCCAGCCACACCTGGCACAGCTGTGGCTCGAGGACCATCTGCTGGGAAAGCGGGGAAGCGCTTCTGTTTCACTTTTGTTTGGGAAGGCACAGAAATTAAAATCCAACACTGTCCATAGCCCACCAACTTCCTCCAGGACATGAAGGGCATCTAAAGAAACGAATTCAGAAAGTGACGGCCACTAAGACAGCCATTGTCACGTGGTTCTGTCAAAAGACAAGAGAAAGACAAAAGGGGAACAAAGATCATTGTCTAACCTTCCCCAACACTGGCACCTAAAGCCTCCATACAGGAGTTTCCACCAACCCTCTCATTGTTCCTCACTTAGAACAGTAGTTCCTTCCTTTCGTAAACCAGACCCCAGGATCATCCAGCCCTTCACCTAAGAAAGGCCTAGGCACCAGTCCACTTTTATGTCAACTTTCTAGAAATCAAAGAACGAATGAATAACAGTCCAAATCAAAACAAAACTATAAACACAGCATAAACACAATACACAAAACAAGTTCCCTGGGACCCAGGAAACTCTCTTTACACTGTGCTAACGGAACAGAGCCTTGGAAGAGTAGAAATGGGGTGTGTGCAGGTATGGACACAGGAGCACTTAAACCTTTTGAAACTGAATTTCAACAGTGAATACTGTAGAGTTCTTTTCTCACCTTCAAAATTTACATTACTATCCTTTTTTGCCTTTAGGAAAATATTGTTGGCATTAGCTTTAAGCCATTCTGAAAGCCTACTGAATTTTCAAGGTCCACCTCAAACTGAACTGAGCTTACACTGGGAGTGAGGCATTTAGAATTCCAGTCTAATGTTTTTATTCCCTGAAATTTATAGAACTAAGCTCCAAGGCAATGAGATTCTATAGCTCTGGACATGTAAGAACACTGGAAGGAAACAGATTTTGTTCTTTTGAAGACTCACTAATACACGTTTTACACCTGTGTCTCAAAACGCAATCAAGTTTTACAGTTTTGTAATCCCAGGCACGGTATATCATTTTCGAGACTTCTATATTTGTCATCCCATGATATCAGCTTAAATTTTGAATTAATTTATACCATAATCGGTTATAATAACAAACTTATTCATTCAAAAATTATATTTAAATCATAAATGCTCTCATATTTTTTGTAATTACAGCATTGTAAGTTATCTGTACTTGATCCTCGTCTATAGATAAAATACTTATGAAAGTTATTAGGCACATTTATAAATATCATATATGCCTCCCATATTTACAAAACATATGTGTAATCATACAAAGGAGTTGGATGTAGCAAGGGCACACCTCAAATGCATGGTCTTCATGCGGATTCGGGACCAAGCAAGGACATGCTCTCAGTTGTTTCTCACATGTTTGCAAAGAATTCTTAAAACTAGATGATTTATGCAACTCATCAAGTGTTACCTACTTGGAGGCTGGGGAAGGTAGGCTCCGATTAGCTTTGACCTCTTCTTTTCATATCCTTTTTGTGTGATGTCACCTGCAAGAGAAGGAAAAAAAGTTCAGGATGGTCTCAAGGGACAGGGCTGATCATTCAGTACAGTCTAAAAACACATCTAGTTCTTGCCGGCACAGGAAGCCTAGCCAAGCTCAGGAAGGCTTAGGCTTTCAGTAACTTAATCCACAGTGGGTTATGCGACTATCTGGACTGGTGATAGCTGGCCTGTACCACCGCTGATTGGAAAAAAATCTCACTAAGGGGAGATGATGCCAATCAGGCATGTCGGTCACAAGGACTTTAAAATAGAGTTTTTGAAAAGTAAGCGAGGGAAGGGAGAAATTATAAGCACCAACATACACAGCATACTGATTTTTGTCCTTGACTTTTTGTAATGTTAAATTTCTCCCCTAATATGCTGATCAAACCATTATGCTCAGAAGAGCTAAAAACTCAAGTTTTGAGAAAAAATACAGCAAATATATGAAAGGTTGTAATGCATCCACTCATTGGTATATTTGCTTTTTCTAGTGATGAGAACTCACTATGGCTCATGGCCCTCAGAGTTTGAGGGCTGGCTCGACGTGCTCAGCTCACTGTGCAGGTTCCTGACTGCCCCACAAAACACACAGCCAGTTCCTAAACACGGAACGTAAACAATAGACAGACATGGAACACGCATCCTGTCATCAGCTGATAAGCGTTTCTGACACTAAGCATATGTTGGCCAGTCACTGTCAGGGAAGGGGTCAGTACGCCTATTAAACTCAGCCCCAGCCATCCTGTCTGCCATGCACTTTCCAACTCAGCCATCAGCTGCTAACTCTGATGCTGTGGGACTGCTTTTGGGAATGTCCCATTATACCCCATTCTAAAGACCACTTTCAAAATCTCAACCACACGAACACCGCACATACATATATATACTCCAGAATATTTCTGTGATGTTTGTGACAACCAAGGGGATAAGGTATTGCATTATAACACTAGCTGGAAGTTGGGAACAGCATATGGTGTAATGGATGGTGAGAACACATGCCCTATAACAAAAATGTCTCAAAAAAAAAAAAAAAAAAAAAAAACCTGGGGGGAAAATTCCCTTCCCCC